TCTAAGCCTTTCAGCTGCCCTCACTCAGGTTCATCCCGTGCTGGCGCGGCACACTTTAGAAAGATATGCCTCCATGCTCCCAGGGCGTGTTCCTGCTTCAAACCCCACCCTTACAGGAAACAGCTTGGGGAGGGCGAAGCCATTGCCAAGACAACCCCTGAAGGACTGACTTCCTTCTGCTTGGTCTCAGCGGTTGTGGTCGTGATGAACACCACCCATGATTTTTATATAAGTAGATAACCATATTCACATCTCAGTAGCTCTATTGACTGGTTTCCTGCCTATAGAACCCCAGAAGTAGATAGATTTCCTTAATTTTGTCCCATCTCTGTTCCCTTAAGTCCAAGTTGGTAGTATTTTTGGTATTATAACAGTCTCAAAATCCTTGTGGGTCTTCTGTGTTGTCAAGAGAACCCATGTCATGAGACACAACAGTTCTCTATGGAGCCTTTCTGGATAGACCCACCTCTATTCCTGCAGAAATGGTTCATTGAATCCATGAACTATATACCTAATCTCTAGAGTAGAAGGTTGTCCAGCCACACTCTTGTTCTTTCCAGAGCATGGCTTAAGCATATTTTATGATATGAATAGACTGAAAAATTTCCAAATCATCCAGTTTTGGTTTCTGTTTGCTTAATAGTTTCTTTTCAATTTATCTATTTCCCCTCACATTTACTAGAAGCAGCAAGAAGAAACCAGGCTGCATCTTCCATATTATGCTTGGAAATCTCCTCAGCTAAATAACCAAGTTTATCACTTGCAAATTCTATTTTCCACGCAGCTCTAGAACACAATTCAACCCTCTTCTGTGCCACTTTATAATAAAGATCATCTCTCCTCTGGTTTCCAATAACATACTTCCCATTTTCACCTGAGATCTCATAAGAGACATCTTTAATGTTCATATTTCTATCAACATTCTTTTCATGACAATATGTTCTCTCTAAGATGATAGAGGCTTTCTCTACTATCCTCCTAAACTTCCTTCTGAGCTCTCACCTCAGGAATCTCCTTAATGTCCATATTTCCTCTAACAATCTCTTCAAGGCCATCTAGGCTTTTTATATCATTTGTCTCAACATTCTTCCAGTCTCTACCCATGACCCATTTCCAAAAACCTTTCCACATTTTAGGGATTTGTTACAGCAGCACCATCTAAAGGTACCAAAATCTGTGTTGTTTTCCCAGGATTTGTAGCAACAAATTACCACAAACTGGGTAGCTTAAATAAAACTCAAGGTGTAGGCAGGGTTGGTTCTTTCTGGAGGCTCTTAGGAAGCCTCCAGTCTGATTCATGCCTCTCTCTTAGCATTTGGAGGCTGCTGTTGATCCTTGATTTATAGCTTCATCACTCCAATGTCTTCCTCCATCTTCACATGGCTCTCTTACCCCGTGTGCTCTTTGTGTCTCTGATAGCCTTCTTATAAGACACCACTCCTTGAGTTTATGGCCCACCCTAGTCTGAGATGATGTCATCTGCAAAGATATAATTTCCAATAAGGTCATATTCTGAGGTTCTAGGTGGACAAGAATGGGGGGGGCACTATTCAATTCAGTACAGATATTAATTAATTTCAAACTCCTATAATCCTCTGAAGGACAGATACTGGCCATGTTCACAAATCCATAAGCAGTAGGAATGAATTTACTTCAATAGATACTATAGAAAACATCTGGTCTCAGGTTTCACCCATGATCTGTATTACCCTCCACAGCATTAATTGTGGGTTTTCATTTCTTTCTGAGCTCTTTTAATGTCAAGTTCCTGGCTACTCCGAATAAAAATTCAAACTTTAGAGACCCTGACATTTTAAATCCCATGTCCTTGCTTCATCTTCTTCCTAGCATTTATTACTACTTAACAAGCTTTATATTTTGCTTATTCATTGCTTTTCTTCCCCACTAGAATAACCTCTGTGAAAGCCACATTTTTTTTCCATTTTATTCATTGCTATATCCCTAGCACCTAGAATAATATCTAGCACATAGTAGGTACTTTGCTCAATAAACATTTGTCAAATAACTGAATGCATGCATGAATGAAGAAATTTCTGGAAAGTAGGCATCTAGCTGCTATGGACAGGGAGCCCATTCCTACATTAGGCAAATTTTGCTCTTTTAAGTCACTTTGTGTAAGGTCTTCAGAGTCCTCACTTAGAGCCCCCTGAGCCTGTTGGACCATTTTAGACACTTGGGAGGCAATTGTGATGGTTGGTTACTGGGAGTGAAGAATAAAGTAAGAGTTGGGATGCTCTTAGGCTGCCTCTGACCTGTTGGATCATCTTGAGAACTTCGCTCCTGACCTCAGCATCCTTCACTTGTCTGTTAGGAAAGCAGTTGCTTTCCCTTCTGGCCTCTATCTCTTCTGTCTGAGATGTGAAAATTACAGACAAAAGTCTCAAAACCACTTTGAACTCCATAGAGAAGGGTGCCAACTAAGCTGGGGACATGTTAGTAAAGAGACAATTCCTTTGAAAATGAAAATTGCTGGATCACACAATCTCCCAACCGTAGGGTGGGATTAAACAATCTTCCTGGTGGCCAAAAGATATTCACATTTACACTTCAATCAGAAATTCCTTTTGTAAGAGGGGAGGGTTCAGTTTTCTGAGATCACAAATGGCCATCCTCATCTGGAGAAGAGAGCCTGTGAATTATCCTGCTAATTAGAAAGTGAATCTAATTTCACAGACTTCAGCTCCTATTAATTTATTCTGAACTTGTTGGTAATGAAGCTGTGTGCTTTTTCTTAAGAAGAAAACATCAGAGAGGAAAAGAATGGGTGTCAGGCTGTGCTGTTTATCCCTGTAATTTCATTCTGTTAATTGAGGAAATAACATATAATTTAATGCATATTACAATACTAGAGTCCTGGTGCACAAATTTGTGCATGGGTGGGGTCCAGCAGGCCCACCCTGATCATGGTCAATTGGGTGGGCTCTTCGGAGGGAGGGGCCATGGGCAATTGGCTGGCCGGCCCTGCCTTTTGGTTGAACTCCCGGTCAAACTCCCAGTTGAGGGGACAATTTGTATATTAGCCTTTTATTATATAGGATTATCAATGCAGCTACTACTTGCTTTAGCTACTGAAAGAGCCCAGTGTGGTGAGACCATAATGGGGAGTCGATTTTAACATGACTAAAACAAACTTGCTGAGGTCACTGAACCATAAGTCATAAGAGCACCTTCAGTGTTGGTCAGTAAGGGTGTAATTGTTTCCAGATACAGAAT